TCAGAGTATTTGGTTGAACTATTTCACTTCTTTCCCCAGTCTGAACCGCCAGTGGTATCGACTCAGCACTTCATTCCGATTCCACAACCGTTCCACCCTTTCACACGACCTGTCTGGGACTGCCAGTCCGGACTGTATCAATTGAGCCCCACCACCCCAACTGATCGACAGTCCGTCCTGGCAGAGTCCTATGGAGTGATCTCTGGGACATGGTGTAGGTGAATTCGCCAACAGCTCCACTTACTCATATTGCTGTGATGTTGTGACACTTCGCAAACGACCTGTACGTGTTGGATATTCTTCATATCTTCATGCCTTCTTGGGAAGAGCTTGCATCAAGACATAGCCTTATGCAGTGCCCAGGCATTCGTTCCTGCCACAATACAGTGAAGGCGCGTGTGTGGAGCCCTGGATGTGGAAGGGTTGTTGCCCTGAGGGAAAAAGGCAACCCCTGGATGTTCGTGGAAGGGCAACTCCTGCTATCATTTCGCTTGGGCATGTAAAAGGTCACCGGGGGGGTCAGAAGGGTCAGATTGAAGAAGCTGGCCTATGTTAAGCTTTAGTTGGTGTACTGAAATAGGGGGGTGGACCCATTCCAGTGACTGAAAGGGGGCGAACGGCGAACTGTTTGCGCGCAGTGTGCCGGAACTGTGGTTTGTTTCATTTCATCAATTCGCAATTGTTCTCTATTTTACCTCTATTTTGTTGACTCTCAGCAGTTTGAGAGTGGACAAAACTGCTATAGGACTCTTCTCTGCAACTTCCTTTCGCCGTGCAAGAAAGACACCACTAGAATCACCAACTCCCAAAACAGTTCTATGAGTTGTCCTGGATCTTCAACCAAAAACTTCTGGCAGTTTTGGCGTTGTCTTTTTTGTTGTGAGTCATGAGGAGTCATTCTTTTGGAGACCAAAGCTGCGGGTTCACGGTCAGACCCTGCAGACTTGGTTTGCAGGGGACTCGCAGTTGCTCTGTAGAAGCTCTGACACTTCGGTGTGACACGTTGGAGAAACCGACCCATCCGGGTCGCGGCGCCTCAGCTTCGCTCAGGCACGGACGCCTCAGCTTCGGGCCGCGAAGGCGACCGCGTCGCAGCCTCGAGGGACGAGCTCTTCACAAGGAGGGCGTGTGGCGGTGCCCACGCGATCTTTGGTCGGGAGACCAAGCAAAGGATCGATAATCCAAGTCCCAGACACTCCATGTATGGCATGTATGCCTACATTGGGGTGGTTTGGGGGGTCAATGTAGGCATATATGGCATACATGGAGCGTCTGGGAGTTGGAGTGATCAGGTGGTGCACCGAAACTCGGAGGCTGACGCCTTGGAAAGCACTTGAGGGGATGCATTTGGTTGACACGACTGGGGGTTTCATCTAGTGTGTCCTTTGAGCAGAGGGGTTCTGTTCTTCGTTTGGGAGCCCACGTCGTTTTGACGAAGAATGTCGTTGTCCTCTCAAGTCATGAGCTGAGTGCCAGTGAACTCACTCAGCTCACAGTTTTGTTCCTTTCAGCGGCAAGTCTCTCAGATGCCGTTTTCCTGTGAAGGGGGCCGAAGGCCCCACCCCACATATCCTCACATCCCCTCGCCACTGCGAACTGCACCTGTTCGTTCTGAAAAGGGGCAGGTTTCATGACCTGCTTGGCTCTTTGAAGCAGTGTGGGCCGCTGGCGGCTCCGATCTTTCAATCTGTCGGACCACCTTCGGACCCACCTTGGAAGGTGCTTCTCCCACTGGGGCTCAAAATGGCTGAACAGAAAAAGCAACATCTGAAGTCGGGTACACAAGTCTTTCGGAATTGTTATGAAATCATCAAGCTTTGACCAAAGGCTGCTCTACTCAGACTCTGCTCCACAAGCCCGGAGCTGACTGATGGACATGAAAAAACAGAATCAGCAAGCCGACTTCGACTGGGTCAGAGGCATCCATCCGACTTCGACTGGACATGGACCAGCACCGACTTCACAGGTCCCCAATTGAAACCAGTTAGGGCCTAACAGTACCCTCCATTTCGGAGACCTGTTGGGTTCGGTTCTGGGACATGGACGTGTGTCATCATCTCTCCGTACGATGCGAAGATCGATGGACGTCACTCGTTCCTCCGAGCTCGTACGAAGAGAAGGCGACCGAGCTCGCGCCGTTCGGACGAGAGCGCAGCCACTGCCGAGGCCTTGGCTCCCTTTCGAAGCATCAGCCACTGCCGGTGAGAGCGGGGCGAAGGAGCGCAGCACTGGGGTGAGGTCAGGATCAAAAAGGATGGAGATTGATTTCATGAGATTTCTGAAATAAGATCTAATTTCTGGTGGAGAGATGCTGGGATCATCCACGTCTTCCCAAAAGAACCACTAGTGGTGATTCACTTTTGAGAGATCGGTTCTTCTACATTGTGCCATGAAGTAAGAATGGTTGATGAACATGGCCAGACCCAACAGGCCATGGTCCCTCGAAACCGTATTTGAAACCCATCCGACCCATCCGGGTCCAGGAACGTTTTAGGTGACGAACAACATGGTCGACTGGGATCAAGTTTGTTAACAAGATTTTAACATGTTTGATTGTAAATTTGTCAAGTATCGATTTGGATGTATGACCAACACGATTCGTGACGACTATACCTGTGCTCAGGATCATGTAGTTTTTAAGCTGCAAACTGTGTTACATGTGGCCTATCAAAGCTGCATTGCCATGTGAATTGGACCAAAATCGGACTCCAAGCAAACTCGACCAAATCCCCATGTGTTGTTCGCGTTTCGCGGTGGTCCCAGATGGGTCCCAAAGCTCAGAGAAGTAAGGCTTCCGACGTCGCCATTGATCTCGTGGTGCGACGGGGTGTGGCTGGTCTGTGATGCCGGGTGCGGCTGGTTGATGGAACCCTATTTAAACCTTGGGTCTGTGCCAGTGAACCTGTAACAGTTGGTAAGTAAACAATCATGACTATAGTTTTGAACAAGGCCTGCAACCTAACCATCATCATCCACTGAAACCTGGTATGAGGATAGATCCAACCTATATTACCTTACATTTAAGATGTAAGATGCAACAAATCGCTGGACTGGAGATTGGGACGGATTTGCTGGGATGAAATCTGGTGTGTTTGACGAAGTTCCAAGGCAAACACCTCAACACGATGGCAAAAACCTTTGGACGATGGCTGCAACGCCACAGACCATCCGTCCAAGCGGGAGAAGGTAGCACTGACCGAACGTTCGGCGCGGGAGGGTCTCTCCCGCGCGCGCGGGGTTCAACCGCGCGGTCGTGAGAACGTTGGTCCTGGGGGTTGAGGAGTTCGTTTAGGATCGATTGTGGGAGCCCCGGGAGCCAATTGAAGGGACATGCCAATGAGACGGAATGTGAGTCTCATGCCATTAGTGTGTGTGTGTGTGTGTTTTTTGTTGTGTGTGTGTTTCAATGGCTGGTAAGCTGGTAGTGGTTGTTTGTTTCATCTAGATTAGGCTTTCACAATCTTTCCATCGAAGTATACTGTGGTGGGTGACTGGATGTGGTTTCAGATAGTTCATGGAGAGGGGTGATTCTTCCAGGTCTAAGAAACTTTCTCAATAAATTCACTTCGCTGTATCGGTCAGAAGAGCTTCGAGCTCACCACGACTTCTGTGTAAAGAGGGGGTATGATGCTGGCCATCGGTGGGTGCGTTCAGGAGGAAAGGACAGATCCAAGTTGGATGAACCAGTCCATTCAGATGCAACGGAAGGATCATTGCGATGGAAGGATTCGATGAACGAAATGGTGTCACCCCGTGATGTCCACAAGTCTACTGCAAACCGTTGGTTATCTTTGATTTATGTCAGTTTGCTGATGTACTTTTGGCCTTTCCCCCGCTGTTATGATTCGTTCACGACAACTTTCAGTGGGATATTTGGTGTGTTTGGTCTGAAGCCCTGTCGGGTGTTGATTGTGTGTGGCACCTTCAAAGCTGCCATCCCCCATGTTTCATAGCTAATCACGATTCAAAGAATTCCTATATAGGTCGTTTGTTGAAAAATCGGTCAAATCAAAACAGGACCAGCAGTAAGGCCAGGGTCGCCCCGTTCCTAGCGGCCTTTGCTCCGTTCGTAGCCCGAAATGCTTCATGTTTTTCGCTTCTTGCTCCTACGTAGTCAGATTGGAAGAGCATCCAACGGCATGCCCCGCCATTTCTGGATTTCCCACATCTCGAACGACTCCCGGGGGAAGCACAGCTAGCACGGGGAGTGCGCGTGAGGAAAAGGACGGCGCGCGCGCGACGGAGAGAATGAGACCGACGCGGCGTGTGAGACACGTGGACACGTGACGTGAGGGATGCAGGTTTCGCTGAGAACGCGGTGTGAGATGGTGTGAGTGGATGCTTCGTTTTTGCCGTTCTCGATGTTGTTTTTGCTGCAACAAAACACGATGCTCTTCGGATCTTCAACTCCCCAAAGTCCTGCCTTATAAGTCCCATCAATCAGTGATGTTCTTGTCTTCTTCAACTCCCCAAAGTCCTGCCTTATAAGTCCCATCTAAAAATGTGATCCCTTATCAGTCCTGCATGTTCTTGTCTTCAACATGTCGAAGATTGCTAGCTATCAACATGTTGTTTCGTGGTGAACTGCCAATGGTGGTTGCAAGGGGAAATTGGTTCACCGATGGTGTCCACTCCCAGTTCCTACCAGCACCTTCATGTCGGGGTCACCTGGCTGGTTGCGCCCCAGCCCACTACTAAGGGACCCTCCAGACAGGACACCCCGAAAGAAGGTCCAGGTATGTGTTGTTTTTTTTTCCATAGGGATGCTTCAAACAACTTCGCTGTCAGCCTCGACGCGGATGTCGATATCCAGTGGTGGGAGCAACTGGTTTTCCATTCCTATGTGTATAATTAGATATGGCCACCCTTCTGGTTCAAAAAGGGTGAAAGACATGTCAAGAGCGCCAGACTGAGGGCCACCAAGTCACAAACAGATACAAACAGACCGCCGCCTGGCTCAAAACTGCCTGCCAGCTGCGAAATCTTCTCCGCACCGCCAGGTAGAGAAGATCTTCCCGAAAGTGAAATGAACACCCACCGTTTCACAGGACCGTGCGGACACTCGTCTACATCGCGATGACGGTGACGGCTCATGAAACGCCCCGTGTTTGCACACGGAAACCATGGGTCTACAGGAGCCACGGCTGAACTCACTTGCATGATTTCCTTGACCTTTGGGCTTTTATTAGGTGATCATCTGATGACCTGGGCACACCGCCCACATGGCGTCTGCACTCGTGGAAAAAGAAAGCTTTTATTAGGTGATCATCTTGCCATCTCTGGCCGGCTGAAGCTCTTCCCGTTCTCTACGCCTGAAGCTCTTCTCCAAACCGTAAAGGACAGTGGAGGTCATGCCCTCCGAGTCGAGCACCGGTTCCGAGCACCGAGCTTCCGAGCCCCGGTTCGAGCAAAAGAGGTGGCGCCATCCACATAACCGATGTACATGATGTACATATATCGTCAGGGTGTACATAATATATGGTGTACATGTAAAAGCATGCATTGATGAGAAACAGATGTTCCTTCCTGGGCACTCTAACACCCCCACACCTGAGAGGGGATTTGGGACAGAGGACCCTTCCACTCTTCGTGGATTTGGCCGAAAAACGAATCTCTGAATTGCCAGAAGATAGGACCATCCTTCTTCTTTCCCAGCACTCACCGACAGTGAAGCACCCGACAGTTGGTCTTTGTACCGACCGCCTCAGGATCTCGTGTGAAGGAACGTCTCACCTGGTGGGTGCGTCTCACCCAACGGTCCACGTTGCAGGGAGGGCAGTGAAGCGCCGTCAGGTTATGGACGGTCTGGACCGGTCTGGTGGTTCGGGCGAAGAAGCTCAACTGATCCGGTCGTACCGAAACCTCAGGTACGGTGATGTGTGGAGACACTGTGATGTAGCTGCGGAGGGTCCAGTCGTACCGAACCAGGTCGGTTCGGTACGACTGGATTTGTAGGGAAGAATGTATCTCCCAGACACGACGTTCGACATGACTAGACACTCGGACTGGCATATGAATCCATACAGACAGGGGGTGGTTGAAGTCGGGGTCAATGGGGCGGCATATATACCATACATGGAGCGTTTGGGTATGCAAAATGATGCACATGCTGTTGGTTTGTCAGGTGGGCGGTTAAGCCTTTAGGTGACGCAGTGTCGTTTGTCCCATTCTATGTTTTTGTGATGTGTGTGTGTGTATTGTCCGCCAGGCTGATTGGGTGCCCTTTGAATATAGGCTGAGTACTTGCCAACTTGCAGTAAACGTTTGCGGGTCATTTGGGGGTCTCAAATTTGCAGGTGTGGAGTATACTCAAAGGGGTCAAGTCGATAGGGTCGGGTACAAGTGATGGGACTGTCATAGGACTGCCAATCAGGGGTGCCAGGGGATGTATGCTGTATGCATATGTTCCAGTCCAGTCGTGTCTGGGGTCAAGTCAGCCATGTTCTCGTGAGAAGACTCGTGAGTTGGCCATGTTCTCCCCATGGATCATGATGGATCGCCCTAGAGCGGCGACGGAGCTGCTACCGAGGCAGAAAGACCCATGAAAGACCATGAGCACATGCCTCCAAGATCGGTTCGCTCGGTTCGAAAAACCTTCATTTGGTTCTCTGCAGGTACACAACCTTGCTGTTTCCTTCCCACTGCCTTCCTGCGTCAAAGTTGCACTCAGACGGCTTGGATGGCGTCTGCCAGAAAAAAGGACTCCTGCGCAAGCGCGCGAGTTACTGGAGACCTGGGTGGTTGAGGTGAGAGGTATATTCAGAGAAGTGAGAAAGGTCGCGAAGAGGAAGCTTCTATATACTGTAGTTGGGATGTCTTGGGACAAGTGCTTTTTTCGGAATCTTCAGCTATGCGCGGAGGCCTCATGAAAAGGATCGGGTCATGGTCACCTCCTGGAATGTTTCATGGACTCACTTCCCCAGAATTTCAGCTGTAGTTTCTGCTGTAGGTCTTGTTTGCCCAGATGGTGCAAGGTAGCCAAGAAGTCTTCCGCCATGTGAATGACATGCCAGCATAGTCATTTTCCAGGGTCCGGTCCAGATGGCTGAGACAGGTGTCACCAGCCAGGTGTCACCTATGAGAAACTCACATGGTTGACAAATCGAAAGTTGAAGCAATCACGTCTTCAAATTGACGACCTTCAGCACCGAAACATACCAAAACCTGTTAAAGGGGTGAACGGGAAAAACATCGGGATTTCACACACATTCTGAACTGTACATCGGGCTTTGTCAAAAAAACGTTCGATGTTCGTTACCATCGAACTCGTTCATCAACCAATACAGGGAAGGCAAACGTGAAGGGAAGCAGCAAGGCATTTCTCAAACCCTGAAAGTTGAGCATGTTCTTGAAGAGACCGAGCATGTTTTCGTGGATATGGGATAAAAGGATCATCTTCAAACGAACTCTCACAATCTCCACGCCTTTGAGATGGTCAGACGATCGTGAAGAAGCCGTTTGTTGGAGGAGCTTTCGGGTGTGACATCGTCGGCGCTTGTCCACAGCATGTTCACCGGACCAACGGTACGGAAGACGACCACATGAAGTTTCCAGAAAAAGAGGTTTCGATGCACCGATTTCGGCTCAGATTGATTTTTATGGTCCGATTTTGTGGCAGGACGCGGGCACCGCGCTCACGCGAACGCACATCCACCGCGCTGCTCGGGGCCCGGAATGGAACTGCTTCCATTCGTGAAGATGTTTGACAGGTAGGGAGGGTATTTAAATCACCAACCGTCGACATGACAACTGCATTTAGTGTTATATGTCCTGTTGTTGCTTATATGTTTATGTTGTGTCATTTGATTGCAATGTAAACATCTTCTTCACCATGTTCAACTCATGACTCAGATTGCGTCTCCAGCTTGTGGACACCCGGTGTCCTCTTTCGCACGGCTCCCCACGGTTTCCCAACGGTCCCATCGCAGGACGCAGTGGATCGAAGATGATCGGCAGGCGCGAGTTGACGCGTGAGTCGATGGCGTCGACCATCGAGTCGCCCTGAGCAGTGACGGTATCAGAAGAGGAGTTATGTGGAAAACTCTGGGATGGTGAAGAGGGGAAAACCAAAAACACAGAACCATCCAGTTCGAGTGGTTTATAGATTCCCCCTGGCCCATTTGCAACCAATAACCACCCCTTTGGGTGCTGCTAGAGAGAGTGCCAAAGAGCCTCTCCAGGATTTCACACTGGGTCTGTGTGAGACCAATCAAGATGGGTCTGGCAAGCGAAACGGTGTGGTCGGGAGTTCTCCAACTGCTTCAGGGTGAGTCCGGATCCCCACAGATGGGCTCAGAATGTCTTGGACGGTTTTGTCTGGGGGGTTTTCCTTGGGATCTAAAGAAAGGGTTTTCAAGGGGATCCTCAAGTATCCAGCAGAAGCTTTACCTGACTAGGTGAGAGTTCATATATGAGGAGTTCAGTATCTCAGGACCAGGCCAATGGATCCAGTTTGGTCATTGGAAGAATTCGGAATGAATACCAGCACCCTCCAGCACCAAACTGGATCCATTGCATGACCAAACCTACCAAATTATTCCGATAACCTGGTATGGATCCAGTTTGGTCATAGGTAAGGTATGCTTACCTACCAGCACCCTCCAGCACATCACCATCTGCGACTTGAGAACGTCTCCATTTCAGCCACCAGAGGAGGACCTGTAGAGTCAGGTGCTGGTGTATGCTTACCTGTTAACGATACGGTTACTTGGGTGAACAGATTACGTCGGGCACCACGTAGCGATCCTTTTTGAGACTCTTGGCACCTTCCTCTCAAACCCGGCTCCGTCGACCCACGAGTCGACGTCGACCGGCCTGCTGGAGTCGGCCGCCTCGGCCGGAGCCCACGGAGGTCTTCCATGCTGGGCCGCAGGCGCGAGCGACTTCAGATCGGGCCGAGATGCGATGCCGAGGTCTGTCTCGGCCCAGTCTGGTCGGAAAAAGATGATGTCTTTGATGATGGACTGGGTGTTGGAAAAAGGACTCTTGATGGGTCTGAAATGAAATGCTTTTGAGGCTTCCCTGAATCCAAAACTTGGTCTCCTGAACTACTGAACTGGTACCAGAGCAGAGAGGCCCTCCACCACTTGGTACGTTGATGTGGATTCTGACCACTCCAAGGTCAAATGTAGATCGAGTTTTAGAATATAGTTCAGCCTCCCAATATTATATGAAGTGGTGTTATACCTCCTAAAATCAGAGGGAGCTTTTGATCAATCAAGTTTCATCATTGATTCCATAAAGAGATGCAGGAGATGCAGTTCACCCCAAGACCCGCAGGTGCTTGTCCACGTCAACGGCTCGACGTGACACGGCCCGGTGGGGAGAGGTGTGTGACCGGGGAAAGCCCCATGAAACCCGGTGTGTTCGACGACGGATAGATGTGAGCTAAGACCCTTCGGCGACTTCGAAAAGCCTAGACAACTGAAACTGGACACCTTTTTTGCCGACATTGACCCCTAATATAAGCTATGCATGGAGGGTGCCTGGGTCACAAGATCAGACACTTGCAGGTCCCTCGGCCTGCATTCCCAGACCATCCGTGTGTGAAATAGTTATATTACATTGATATACCTCATGTATGGCCGCAAAGTATGTACAACTATTCCATATACACTAGGATTGGAAGTTACATGGATGACCCCATGATATATATTCTACACCTAGACGACCAAGTGACATACATGATTCTAAGTATGATTCTAGTGTATACAGAAAAGTAGCACAAATTTCTTGAAATCATAATGTACCCTAGGGCTCCAAGTACCTTCTGGGGTGGGTTTGGAGTGTCCAGTCATACCTTCTGAGGAGGTCATTGGAGCCCCTAGGGGCATTATATATTCCATGGATGATCCGGGATTGGAAGGGCCCTGTACGGCGCTGACCGTTGACGGTCTGGTTTGGCTGATGAGTCTCGTATTAGGTTTTGCTTTTGGTCTTTTTTCGTGCATTCGTTTTTGGGTGGCATTTTCGGAAGAAGTGATCCATTCAACAATTACGTGGTTCCTGCTTTTCGCAGTGGTCCTAAACA